AATAATAATAATAATAAATTATCACATTGTACAAGTTGTAATAGTGCTGTAAGTAGTGAGCAAGAAAATACAAATATATGTGGATTAAGTGTGAATGTGAGTTTTTGAGGCCTGCTCCGAGGCTCCTCACCTCTTTTTCTTGTTTTGAAACGCTGGCCTGTTAGCGTAGGCTTCTGTTGCCTTTGATTACTCATAAAAATACCCTGCAAAACAAAACAGGAAACAAGTTAGGACTAGAAAATACAACTCATAAATCGGTACTAATCACTGTTGCAAAAACCCGACGTTGCGACATTTTCGATGACTGACGGTTCAGATGATGTCGATTTAAAACGTGGAGGTTTTGCGAGACTGTGTCGTGCGTAAACCAACACAGATAAAAATAATCAACATCTGAACCGAAATGAAACTTTTAAGGTTGTAAGTATTCGGAAATATTTGCCCAAACGATCTGACAAAAGGACAACAAGGCTGACTAATGAGTTTATCTCGTTAAAGCTAACAGAAGTAGGACAACCCGAGCCAGTCTGTTAGCTTAAAACCACGCCGTCGTCTACGCAAACCGTCGTTTTATTTTTTCTTCCCCTTTCGGACACAAACTAACGCAATAAAAATATAAACATTGCTTGATCATGCAAAGAACAAAGTACCGAATAAACCCACCGAAATCCCCTTTTGGATTAAAACAGCCCGTGACAAAAGACAACAGTACAACTGGATTTTAGCATAAGCAGGTACCGGAAGAAGGAAATAGCATTACGTCAGCGCGCATGCGCATTAACACAATCCAGAAAGTGCGCAACAAGATAGGAAAAACTAAGAAATAATTGATAAAGTAGTGCGTAGTTCATCTGTTTTTCTTGAAAAATAAATTATGCGAAATGAACTCGAAATGCCATAACATTTTATTCTGAATAAAGTGTCACAAACATAGAAAGAAAAGCATGTGGCAAAGAAAATAATAAAAAAAAAGAAGTGTTTCAGTCCTGCATGTTAGAAGTCAGCATCATTAAAATGTTGTCAGCAAGTCGTTGCGATCTTGAATTAAGACACAGGAGGGGGACATTGTGCTGCCGGGTGGATGATGCGTCTGTCCATACGGGATGAAGGGGAAACTTTAATGATGCGTTGTCATTCACCTCGTAAATCTGAGTGTTCACTGAAATCTGTAAGTTTGATAATGGGAGTTAAAACACATGTTATAGGCATAACATAATAAAATAAATATCTGAAAATATTTTTAAAATAAGCTACAGAGGAATAAGCCACATGTAGTCTGTAATAGAGCCTAAAACAACTACAAAAATTACTCTAAAGTGCTCAGGAAGTATTACATAGCAATCATTATACCAGGAAATAAAATGTGTAACTTGTCTCCCAGGGGAACAGCTTTTGCTTTCTAATTTGTGTAAAGCAGAGTCCAGGTTTAAAACAGTTCCTCATTTTGTTTGATAACAGTTTTAATTCCAAGAAACATTTTCTAGATCAGTAGTTCCCAAGGTTGTGAGTCATGAAACAGCACATGGGGGGTCTTCAGATGATCTCCAGAACACATTCACCATGTTTTTCACAAAAAAAGAAAACAAGTGGTCCTAAATGAATACACGTATTATTCGGTGAATGTTGTGATTGTCTGTGTTGTCTGTGCTCGTTGTTTGACAAGGTTTTAGCAACGTTTATTAAAGTTTTATGAGCCACTTTTATTTTATGGGTTGTATAAATCAGAAATAAGAACCACGTCACTGAGAACGACAACTAGTTAGAAAGTTGCGGGTGTTTCGGAGAAACAGACGTTTATTTTCTAAACATGATGTCCCAGTGGCTTTCAAAGCCCAAAACACATTACGGCAAAAGGCTGGTTCACCCCAAAGATCCGGTGCCCCGGCACAAACAGAGCAATGTTGTATATGCTGTTAAGTGCCAGGAAGACTGCGACCAGTTATACATCGGGGAAACAAAGCAGCCACTGTTCAAAATAATGTCCCAACACAGACGAGCTACATCTAATGGCCAGAACTCTGCAGTTTTCACTCATTTACAGGCCAGCGGTCACTCTTTCAGAGATGAGGATGTTCTCATTCTTGATAGAGAGGAACGTTGGTTTGAGAGAAGAGTAAAAGAAGCCATTTTTGTGAAGAAAGACCGTCCGTCATTAAACAGAGGTGGAGGCCTCCGTTTTCAGTTGTCCCCCTCCTACAGCGCTGCTATAGCCAGTATCACTCCACCCCTGTTAACAATAGGTGTTAATTAGGTGTCAACAATAGCCATGTGATGTGAGTATCAGTCACAWGGAGGCAGTGCTTAAAAGCCTGAATTTTGCCTGAAACTCTCAGACTGAAGAAGTCTCTTGGAGGAGAGACGAAACGTTTCATTAGAGAAGAACCCGTCCAGAAGACCTATGCAATTTTTTTTTCTTTTTGATTTTTCACCTGGATTACTGAGATGCATCAGGAAGACAACTAGTTAGAAAAAAAAACCGGTGTCCTATGGAAGCTTTTGTTTCTGAAATAAATACCAAACATATAGTCAGATGTGCCACATAGGCCTATAAAGACAGCAACGCGTTTTTGTGTATTTATGGGTTGTGTTCAATTMCTGTATCTGAGCAGGGCCTTTTGGCCCCGCCCCCACTTTTGTAAGCATAATCTCTATCCATGCCCAAGTTTATGAATTGATACTTCCATCAAAGTAAACACTTATCTTTCACACACAATGCTCATACATAATGCTTATATATTTGCAGGGAAAAAAATCCCAAATATTAGCTACTACATGGACAGGACAAGAAACGCTTATGTCCGACAACGCGCGAACGCATCACCAGCACCCCCTCCCTCCCTCTTTGCGCTCTGGAGGTGATTAAGGGACTCAGGACTAGCCCAGAGACGCCAGTCCAGCCACTCCCTACGCCCGGCAGCCTCTGAGCTCTCAAACCCAGCCGGAGCTCCATTCAAAGTACACGAGATCCGGATGAGAGCCTCGTCCGAGCCTCATCCAGCGCAGCAGACCCGAGTTTAAAGCGAACACAGCCGGGGAAGAGGGCTTCAGGAACCGCTCCAGAGTTGGACAGTCTCCCCCCCGGGTTTCACAAACTCTTGTCCGCGAAGTGGATTTGGGACAAGGAGGCGCAAGTCTTTACAGAGGAGAAAGAGGCAAGTCGGTTGTGTTTTGTGACTTAGTTATAATGTTAAAATTACTTACCCCCTCCCAGCTTAGTTAGAATGATGCGTTCACGGTAACTTTTCAGAACTTTTCATTGTGTGGAGTCGCGTCTCATTCATTYCATGTCAGTAGAATAAAGGTTTGGACTAACCTTATTTCATTATTTTAAGAAAATATGTGTTAACTATTAAAAAAACAGCTAGGTTTGACCTAAACAGCGCGGTTTGTAGTTTTGTCCTGATCCAAATTAAGGTTCGTGAACGCTAATTGCCAACATCTGTGAGCGAGGGAAGGCGAGTCAAACAGCTGCAGACCCAGAAACTCAGGACTGCAGCTCAACTTTTTATCCCATTCAGTTTGTTTTCACAACACACGTTCTTATTTTAGCTTCATAAGAACAGTGATGGCTATGCAGTTTGTGTGATATTTTTGTAAGAGGGGCAATAGAAAAAGCATGTGTCCATAATGGATTACATTGTTTAATTTGTACACTAAGAGCTGTGAGTGGAGGGTCACACTACAYAGACAAATGCACCTAGTTCGTTTAAATCAGTGGTTCCCAAACTTTTTATCTTCTGACCCACAAAATATCCATGGCAAAAACTTGTGWCCCCAAATATTACTGGTCTGAGTACACRAACTTCRTTAATAACCCTAAAAACACAGGMTTTTTGACAATCTAAACAGCTTGTACACAAATATAAATACTTATTWATAGTTATTTTGTGTTTTTGTAATATTTATAGGGAAAATATTGCATCAGCAATTATTTTATTACACTTTAAATTGATTTCTGGGGATTATCCAAGGTGCTTCATGACCCATAATTGGGTCCCAAGCCCAACTTTGGGAACCAAAGTGCAGTGGTTCCCAAACTTTTCAGCTTTTGACCCACAAAATAACAGTAGCAGAGATCTGTGCCCCCAACTATTTTTGGATGATAAACATATGTATCAGGTCAACAAAACATGGGCATAGTAACAATATTTTTTATACTACAGTTATCCATTTTAAATACACTAACCTCACTCCTTTGTAACAACTAAGGCAAAAAATGTAATTRATTCAGAAAATCTTTTCAGGTCCCGACCCCAACTTTGGGAAACAACTGATTTAAATGATAAACTGACTAAAAGTGGCTCCAATCCATCAGTTTTCAAGAGCGCAGGCTGCTGGCTGGAATAAATCACACATAAGGACCGCATGAATCAAACTATTTACCTCTCTGAGGAGAAACAAACTCCAACGTTTGCCCATGACGGATTGAACTGATGGATAATCTTGTGGGATCCAGTCTGAAAGTTTTTATAAGATGCAGATTTGAGAGAGGAAATTGTTAGAAACAAAATTACAGTATGCTGCAGTTTTTCACTGTAAGGGAAATGTCTTCAGATTTACTGTTTTTCCATGCAGGCTGCTGGAATTTAGTCACAAGAGAATTGGATGGTACACTTTAGATATTGAAGGCATACCATTCCTTGAAGGAATGCATACCGCCCATTTGCTTCTATTACAGCAGTGCATCATCTTAAAATAAATTTAGTTGTATTAATTTCTGTCAAACTTTCTGTAAGACCTTTTGCACAGTCTAATAACTGAGTGAGCTCTCAAGAACTGTTTGGTTTAAAAAGAAAAAAAATCTTGTTAAAGTTGAGTCTCGGCGATGGCCACATTAAATTGTATCTCAATATCTGAGAAATGGGCTGAGTTGTAGCCATTTTGCAAAGGTGGGTTTGCTGTGGTAGCCATTTTGAATGGGGCATTTCCAGAAGCTAAGCAGGTGTAGACGTACATCCAAGTTTCATTAAAATGTTTAAGGTAAGGGATGCACGATATATCGGCATTAATATCGGTATCGGACGATATTGTTCATTTTTTAGAATATCTGTATCGGTCCGATATGTAAAACTGGGCCGATATTAACATCCAATATTGATTTCCCACTGTTTAGCTTTGTGTTTCTGTTTTGGGAGGGGAGCTGGTTGTTTGAACGGCATCTGTTTGATCATGAAAGTGATATTGATGCTGCGTAGCCAGGAATAACTGAAGTAGGGAGCCATGTCAGAGGTCTGGTCGTTTATTTGCGGTATCAAAAAATAACCCAAGTGTGTGTKTGCRTATTTGTATAATATAATTTGTGTGTTTGTACAATATCAGTAAATATTGGTTATCGGCCATAATAGCAGTAATTATATCGGATATCGATATCGGCTGAAATTTTCATATCAGTGCATCCCTAGTTTAAGGTTTGAGAAATTTTGTGGACATTACAGACGCAAATGGCAGAGATGAGAAGTTTTCTTCTTTTGTGGTTTTCCGTAAATATGTTCCGCCTCTTTTGGCCAGCTTCAAGGCACAGTGTATAGGATTTGTTTTCAGCGACATCTATTGGTTGAGTGGTTGAATCATCCCCCCTGCTCCCAAACGCAAAGGAGTTGCTATGGTGTCTCTCAGGTGTCAAAAACCTTTGATAATTCCAACCGCAATGTCTACCAGCAGCTTCAGGTCTAGTGATGTTTCAAGTGGTAAGATTGAGCTTTAATAAGAAAAATCATCCCAGCTACAATGACAGACAACAAATATTACATTTATAGTATTACAACTAAAACCGTTTTTGACGCCGCCACCGAAGTTTGTCCTTCATGAGCCTTCGTAGACAATATGGCGGCTGCCTGTAGTAGCGACCCGCGACCATGGATATATAAACAGCTTTTTATAAGGTAAAAATAATAAAACAAGGTCTTTGTCTGCAATGATTAGACATGTTTTTTGTTATTGTCATTAGTGATTATCTCAATTTCTGCTTTTTGAATTGACAAAATCCTACACACTGTGCCTTTCAGTGTAAGAAACCAGATGGGAACTTTATTACCTGCACTGATCAAACAAACGGTGATGTAAGGCGACTGTGAAAAGTAAGCTTTCAGAGCTGTGGTAGAGAGAGAGAGACTCCTGGAAAAAAGTAACAAGCATTTAGCTCAGCTGGAATAAGGGCAGCATGTGGGACTGTTGGCCAGTACTTCGACTCAGTGGGAGCTTTTTAGGCAGCATGCAGGGAGCAGCCACAGTATTTTTCAACGTGCCAAAAACCCCCATCAGGAGCGCCGTGGGGTGACATGTTGTGGTCTAAAGCAGGGTGTATGGCGGATCAAAGTCCCTCTATCAATGCCATGGTGATGAATGGTGTTTGCACTTGTCTGTCTGTGTAGCGAAGCGTGTGGCTTGTGTTGGGCCTGCGTCAACACAGACAAAGCCTTCCTGAAAGCCTGGAAGCATCAGCGGTCCTCTCGGTGATCCCAGTTCAGTAACTCATCCATATTATGATGCATCAAACGTCCTGCCTCYCTCAGCCTGTTTTCTACAAGAAAAAAAATAAAAAGACTCTTAAGTTAACTGTCTTTAAAAACTTTTCACTGTGCAGTATAACCCTGAACATTTTCCACCCATTCAGCTTAATGGCTTCTGCTTCACTTCCTTYGTGTCCCTATGGAGCCGCAGTAATAACAATGTACGTTCAGCTATTTTTCTCCTTGCCTTGTCGACTCCTGTGCAGCTGCTTTTTCCATTCACTTCCATAGATCTGAGTCATGATGCTGTTTAAATGGCTCTTAGGCAGAGGGCACTCGTACCCCCTGTTCTTCTTTTTTTATATGTTCATTTATTAGCATGAACAGCAAGGAAAAAGGGAAAAAAATAAGGAAACTTTACTGCTTTGAAAATCACAGAAAAAGGATTTATATGGATGCAGTTAGAGAGGACAGGGAGGTAGTCGGAGTGAGGCCAGAGGATACAAACCTGTGAGATGGAGAATTGACTCTGCAACGTGACCCCTGAAGGGGCAATAGCTAAAAGGATAAAACTGTTCTGAATATGATTTGGGCAGTATTGGCAAGAAAAAAAAATCACAATTAATTGCGGTATTTAGCTGATAATGATTAATATGTATTAATTACTCTTAATCCCCTGGAGTCCATGGACATGTGCATGCCCTAGTCGCATGACCAATTTAAATCACTTTAATGGGAAAGATTTGCTCTCTGTAAAAATCTGTTCCAAATTGTGTCAAAAGTGCAGACTTCAGGCTATATATTAATTTTTAAACTGTTGATAGATCAAGTAAAACCTGAGCCTTGATGAATAGATTACAGAACTGTTTTTTTTTATGTTTTTCATATTTAAAGCAGAGAGGAGCACTGAGCAGACAGTCTGCCTGGTGTCATTAACCAGTTGTTGTGTCCTTGGGCAAGACAACCCGCCTTGCCTACTGATGGTTGTCAGAGGGTCTGGTGGCGCCGGTGCATGGCAGCCTTGCTTCTGTCAGTGTGCTCCAGGGCAGCTGTGGCTACAATGTAGCTTACCATCATCGGCGTGTGAATGTGTGTGTGAACGTCTAAGTGGAAAGCACTTTGGGGTCCGGAGGGACTTGATAAAGCGATAAGTTCAGTCCATTTACCATTAATCGTATTAATCGTCAAGTGCCAAAAAATAATTAAAGTTTTTCTGAAGATTAATTGCACACGATACAATTTTCCCCAACCTTAATGATTTGAACATAAAACTCTAACATTTATTAGAACAACTAAATGCTCTCACAAGGGTGGAAATTGTTTTTTTTAACAAGTGCTTATGTTTGTGTGTGTGTAAACTTCAGCCAGCAGATTTGTGTTTTTACATCTCTAATCTTGAAGTGACACTGCTGACTGAACAGCTAAATAAATACAAAAGTGACTTATGTGGTTAATGGCAACATTATGCAGTTGTCTAAATCAACTTTAGGTAATTGACTCCTGCAGCACTGAGGTCACTTCTAGGGCTTTCYGGTTCTGGTATAACCAGTGCGACGGTTGTGTTCACAACCTTGGCACAAAATCAAGCTGCTCATACAGTATCCGATTAGTTGGTACCTTTGTACCATGACCTTCAGTGTTCTGTGAGGTGTTTTGCAGCTGGAATCAAAGTCATGTCAAAGTCTAAGTCATGGTTCTCAACT